GAAGGAAGGAAGGAAGGAAGGAAGGAAGGAAGGAAGGAAGGAAGGAAGGAAGGAGGCAAACCCAGCAAACCTCAAACCATCCCACCAGCATCTAACATTCAGCAAAGGGGCCACCAATCCAAGCCCTGGGAGAACGCCAACAGGGCGAGAGCCATCCAGATCTCTGAGGGATCCTTATTGCAGAGGGCAGGCATAGTGACAGAGAAGGCACACTTCCTGGGTCCTGATAGATGACATTGTTGAAATGAAGGAACCTGAAGCCCACCAACCCTGTCAGCTCAAATCTGGACAGACCCCATGGCAGTTTTTAATCCTAGTATACCACCCAGAGTGATTGGTTGTGTGGGCAGCCCAAGAAATGTAAATGTAAAAATAAAAAATAAATATCCCTAAAGCCATAGTGAAATAGCCAACTCTCTGGGACTTTTCTGAATACCAGCAAGGGTGGTGCTGATGCAATCTCTGATGGAGCACTGTTCCTAAAGAGAGAGGCCACAAAGGACAAGACGTTCCCTCGTGGTCCCTGATGTTAACCCTCCTTCAAAAATGGAATTTAAAGGGTGCCCTCCCCACTAGATCTTACAGGATGGGCAGAGCCCTGAAAGTAGTTACTGTAGCTATAAAAAGCAAAAGTGAATTTCAGCATGATGTACGGTATAGTTTTGCATCTAGTACTGCATCTCACTTCAACCAATCCCCAAATTTTAAAAAATGGCAGTTGACTGTCAAGCATAATGAAGGCAGTTTGATCATTCCAGAGCTGAACCCAGGAATAAGGCTCAGGATTCAGTCCTAGGATTAAGGATTTGGACACCTTTTTCAGTCTGAAGCATTACAAGACAGAATCTAGGATAGCTTCATTCCAATTGACACGCTGGTTTGGGAAGTGGGAATTCAGTAAACTGTTATGGAGAACAAGGCTTTCCAAGTTATATAGGTTCAGACCAGGTTTTTCCACAACCATATTTTTGTGGCTTATTTTTTTTGTTCCTTAATACATCCATATAATAACAGATGGGCTTCTCCACATGCAAAAAATAATTGAGATCACCTGATCACCAGTGTGGTGGTAAAAGAGTTCAGAGTTTCCTATCTGACTAGAGCACTGGTGAGATTACAGCTGCAGACTGAAGGGGGAACAGCATGATCATTTGCATTTTGACTCAGAAAAAAAGAAAAGAAAAGAAGCTTTTCATATGTACAAACTCAGGCCTAT